AGTAACCTAGCGCGCGGCAGAACGGGCTCATGAAGCAGGAATCAGTTTCATGAAACTCAGTTTGTGAAACAGTTTTGACGACATGGCAACATTGCGGCGAGGAATGAAATGTGGCAACCATGTTTAGTCGTCTTTTGATTCAAAATATTTTGGATGGAAGTGTAAAACTATGTAATTTGTCGATCTGTATTATCGACTGTAAGTAACTATAGTTACCGGCAAGCTCGCTGTGGTGCATCTTTTGCTTGGAAGAGAACTGTGACGCTAGTAGTGAAGAATGTCGGAAGCTCGAGATGGTGTTTCCGATACACAATTCACATCAAGTAATCGTGTGTCTTAATTAACTAAGTAATCTACTGAAAATACACTCCACTGCCTTTGTACATGCCTTATCTCGGGGTCTTCGGATGCGAATTTTCGATTCGAGCTCTATATCTCTCGATATTTACGAAAAACTGTTAGCGGCGGCCATCTTGTGTCGTTTTGCTCGTGAATTGACACCACTCTGGCCGAATATTGCAAATATCTCAACAATAATAAAAAAATGGACATTTCTACATCCGAAGCACCCCAGTTTAGTCTTTTGGGAATCTAAATTTTCCACTTACGAACTGCACATTTCGATATTAAAGCGTTAGATTTACTTGATATAAACCTCTAAAACTAATATACGTATATGGCTTTTCTTCTATGTGTGGGTCGTCATAGTGTGCAGCAACCGGGCCTCTTTCCGATGTTTATTGGTATCATTCGAAAGTGGAAGGTTCAAAGCAGTGCGCGAATATGCATCATCAATTTTCTTTAATAAACCTAACCTAATGGATTGTGGTTAGGATAGGTAATTTTTCCTATACATGCAAGTACTTCTCTAGTTTGGTCTCCGGACACATTGGAACGATTAGCAGTACAAGCAGTTGTGTAACTGTGTAGGTATTTAAATAATGATTCGAGTAATATATACTTTATCGTTATTCGTTATTCAATGATTTGAATAAAATTACACGACCAGTATCGAATAAATAACAATTCTCATCAAACGATGAAAATTTGTTTCGGATCATATTTATTTGTAGCGTTGAATACAATTTTCATCTTTTATATATACGAAGGCTTCACGCACGAATGAACATTTGAATTGAGATTCTTTTTCATTCCTAATAGAAAACGCCGGTGGCTCCATCTCGTATTTATAAAACAGCTACACATCTCTAGATAATACCATTTATGTAACCAAATCTGCACAGCAGAAACCGACTTGCTGAATTATATGATCTGGAACAATAAATATTTTTTGTTTTGTATAAAAATGTAAATTTAACATCATTTGTGTTTCTTTTCAATTTATATTGCTTCAAGTGAAAATTTCGTAAATTATTAACAATATACAAGATACACACCTCTAGATGAAGTGTGAGCTAATGTAAGTATCAGAGAACGATTTAAATACAAATAAAGATGCCAAATTGGATTTCTATTCTTTGAAAATGAGGTTTCGATATTTATAACGTAATGTTTCGTGAGACCACTATGGCCCCAAATACCTAAGAGAGAAAAGTCCATAATAAAATGCAACGTTTGTACTCGAAAACTCGAAACTCCTCGAAATCCAACAAGTTTCGAGTTGTCGAAAGAATAAAAAAATCGACATCGTGCCTAACGCGATGACAGCTGGTAAATATAGTGGAAAACCGAATTTTTCGAACCGCGACAGAGACATGAAACCCGAGAAAGAGACACATTTAAATATAAATGCGATTGATGTGGACGAACGAGGCATAAATCTCCGGAATATGATCGAAAAATAAGTATTTATAATAGTCGAATTTCGTTGAAAAAGAGTTGCACACGACAGGTGCAAGTAGCGAAA